CCTAAACCCTAAACCCTAAACCCTAAACCCTAAACCCTAAACCCTAAACCCTAAACCCTAAACCCTGAGTGTAAGTGAAAAAAGGAGATAAAGAAAATTGGTTTGTGTGTAGTTTATTTATTTAATTTATTTATTTTATTTTATAAAATAAAAGATATAAATATTTATATAAAAATATAAATAAAAAATAAAATAAATACATAAAATAATAGATATAAATATTTATATAATAATAAAAATAAAAAAGAATAAATACATATAAAAATAAAAATAAAAAAAATACGTAAAACAAAAAAATAAAATAAATAATAAAAAAAAATACATTTGTGTTTGTCTCCTTTCTTCTATTATTTTTTATACATATACTGAAAAAAATAAAAAATAAAATAAATACATAAAATAATAAAAATAAAAATAAAATAAATACATAAACTAATTAAAAAAATAATAAAATAAAAATAAAACAATAAAAATAAAAAATAAAAAATAAAACTACATTTGTGTTTGTCTCCTTTCTTCTTTTTTAATACATATAATAAAAAAAATAAAAAAAAATAAATACATAAAATGTAAAAAATAAAAATAAAAATAAACACATATAATACTAAAAATAAAAAGTAAAATAAATACATAAAATAAAAAAAATAAAAATAAAATAAAAAAATAAAATAAAAATAAATACATTTGTGTTTGTCTCCTTTCTTCTTGTTTTTTTTTTAACACATATAATAATACAAATAAAAAAAATAAATAAATAATAAAAATAAAAAGTAAAATAAAAAAAATAAAAAATAAAAAAATAAAAAAAAAATACATTTGTGTTTGTCTCCTTTCTTCTTGTTTTTTAATACATATACTAATAAAAAAAAAATAACTACGCAATAAAAAAAAATAAAAACAAAATAAATACATAAAATAATAAAAAAAAATAAAAAATAAAAAAAAAATACATTTGTGTTTGTCTCCTTTCTTCTTGTTTTTTTTTAATTTCTTCTTCTAAGAGAGCCGACTTCTCTAGGGCCCCAACTGCATGCGCTGCTGCTTCTGCTTCTCCCCAGCTGCCCTGCAGCGCCTGCATGCAGCAGCAGCAGCAGCAGCAGCAGCAGCAGCAGCAGGAGCAGCAGCAGGGGAGGAGTAGATGCAAGAGCAGCAGCAGGAATAGCAAAAGTGGAAGCAGCAGCAGCAGAAAGGATAGCAGCAGCAGACAGAGCAGCAGCAGCAAAAGCAGCAGCAGCAACAGCAGCAGCAGCAACAGCAGCAGCAGCAACAGCAGCAACAGCAGCAGGAAGGGGTCTAAATTAATTAAGCAGCAGCTATTGCACATGCAGATACATAACCGCCATCAGCAACAGCAGCAGCAGCAGCAGCAGCAGCAGCATAACCCTCAGCAGCAGCTGCAGCAGACAGCAGCAGCAGCAGCAGCAGCAGCACCACAATCACCACCATCATCATTAATAATTAAAATAATAAACAATAATATATATATATATATATATTTTTTTTTATTTTTTATTTTATATATTTATACATACCGCGTATAACCATGTTTGTGCTGCAGCAGCCCAATCGAAGTTAATTTTATTTCTATGGTGTGTAGCTGCTGCTGCTGCTCTTGTATTAGTTGCTGCTGCTGCTGCTGCTGCTGTTGCTGCTGCTGCTGCTGCTGCTGTTACTGGGGGAGGAACAAACACCACTAAGCAGGGCAACGCATGCAGCTGCAGCAGCTGCTGCAGCGCCACGCCGTCTTTGCTGCTGCCCCAGTCAGCAGCAAATATACAACTGTGCGTATCCTGCAGCAGCAGCAGCAGCAGCAGGAGCAGCAGCAGCAGCAGTAGGAGCAGCAGCAGCAGCAGCAGGAGGAGGAGCAATATGCATGCGGCAGAAACAGCAAAAACAGAGACGCAGCAGCAGCTGATGTACACGTGCAAGAGCAGCAACAGCAACAGCAACAGCAGCAGCAGCACCAGCAGCAGCAGCAGCAACC